TTTGTTTGGTGGATCTAGCTGCTGGAATATTGGGTGCATATATATTGTAAGAAGCAATATATATAGTTGGATCATTTTTTAAATCAATTCTGCCAATCTGTGTATTTTAGGTGGAGCATTTCACCCATTTATGTTCAGTGTCACTATCAATATGTGATGCTTCATTCCTGTCATATTATTCACTGTTTTCTCATTGTTTTATAATTTTTTTCTTTTTCTCTTTTTGTCTTTGTAGTTGGCAAAATCATGTTTCCATTTGATTCTTTTCTTTCTCCTTTGAGTGATTGTTTTATTAGACCTGTGAGTGTTATATTTTCATGTATTTTTGTGATGATGAATATTAACCTTTCATTTCCATGTTTAAGACTCATTAAAAATTTCCCTGTAAGGCTCGTCTAGTGGTGACAAATTCCTCAGTGCTTGCTTGTCTGGAAAGACTTTATTTCTCCTTCATATATGAAGCTTATTCTGGCAGAATATAAAATTCTTGGTTAACAGGTTTTACCTTTCAGCCCTTACAAAAAGCCATCCCATTCTTTTCTGGCCTATAAGGGTTCTGCTCAGAAGTTCACTGTTAGTCTGATGGAGTTTCCTTTATAGGTGCTTTATAGGTACTATATGCTTTTCTCTTGATAGTTTTGAAATTCTTTCTTTCACTTTGACTTTAGACATCTGAATATAATATTCTCTGGTGAAGTCCTTTATGCAATGTATTTGCCTAGTGTGCCTCCTATATCTGGATGTCTAACTCTCTCACTATACTTGAGGAGTTTTCATTGATTATTTCCTTAAATACTTTTTCTAAACTTTTTGACCTCTCTTCCCCCTCAGTAATATCAATAATTCATAAACTTAGTTATTTTTGTAGTTCCAGATGTCTAAAATGCATTGTTCATTATTTTCTATTCTTTTTAAAAAAATTTAGTTTGACTAGAATATTTCAGAAGGGCTCTCTTTAAATTCTGAGATTCTTTCTTTTGTCTAGTCTTATTATGGAAGCTTTTTTTAAAAATTTCAGCATATTATGGGGGTACAAAATTTAAGGTTTCAAATAATGCCCTTGCCTCCCTTCCCCTGACAAGTCTGAGCCTCAAGCATGACCATCCCCCAGATGGTGCACATCTCACTCATTATGTATGTATATACCCGCCTCCCCACCTCCCTTCCACTCGCCCAATACCCAATTAATGTAAGTTCCTATGTGTTCACTTAGGTGTTGCTCAGTTAATACCAGTTTTCTGGTGAGTATATGTGGTGCTTGTTTTTCCATTCTTGGGATACTTCATTTAGTAGTATGGGTTCCAGCTCTATCCAGGAAAATACAGGATGTGCTATATCACCATTGTTTCTTAGAGCTGAATAGTACTCCATGGTATACATATAACACACTTTATTAATCCACTCATGAATTGATGGGCACTGGGGTTGTTTCCACAGCTTTGCAATTATGAATTGTGCTGCTATAAACATTAGAGTGTGGGTATCTTTTTCATAGAGTGACTTTTATTCTTTTGAGTAGATGCCCAGTAATGGGATTGCTGGATCAAATGGCAGATCCACCCACTTGTATTGCTTTAAGGTATCTCCATATTGCTCTCCATAGAAGTTGAACTAGTTTGCAGTTCCACCAGCAGTGTAGGACTGTTCCTATCCCTCTGCATCCACGACAACATCTATTATTTTGGGACGTTTTGATAAAGGCCATTCTTACTGGAAATAATTGATATCACATTGTAGTTTTGATTTGCATTTCCCTGATGATTAGAGATATTGAGCATTTTTTCATATGTTTGTTAGCCATTCTTCTGTCTTCTTTAGAAAAGTTTCTGTTCATGTCCTTTGCCCATTTTTTGATAGGGCTGTTTGATTTTTTGTTGCTGATTTTCATGAGTTCTAAGTAGATTCTAGTTATTAGCCCATTATCAGATGTGTAGGATGCGAAAATTTTCTCTCATTCTGTTGTCTGTTTACTTTTATAACTATTTCTTAGGCTGTGCAGAAGCTTTTTAGTTTGATCATGTCCCATCTATTTATTTTTGTTGCTGCTGTGATTGCCTTTGGGGTCTTCTTCATAAACTCTTTGCCTAAGCTTTTGAATGTGTTTTGTATTTCATTCAGTGAATTTTCCCATTTCAGAATTTGTGTGTGTGTTTTTTTTTAAGATATCTATCTCCTTGGTGAATTTCTCATTCATAACCTGAATTAATTTTATAATTTCTTTGTATTGGTTTCAAGATTTCTCTTGCATCTCATTGAGCTTCCTTAAAATCATTATTTTCAATTTTTTATGTAGCAATTTGAGGAGTCCTTTTTGATTAGAATCTGTTGCTGGACAATTGTTGTGGTCCTTTGATGGTGTCTTATTTCCCTGATTTCTTATGTTTCCTGTGTCTCTCCATTGATATCTGCACATCTGGTGTAATAGTAACTTCTTCCAATTTTTTGAAATTACTTTCATAGAGGAGAATTTTTTCTTATAGATGTATTTCCTGGTATGGAAAAATCTTTCTATTTGTTAGTATTTCACCTTGATTTTTAACATGCATTCTGACTTAACAAAATCCAAAGTAAATATCAGAAATGAGCCATGTAAAATTATTTAACTATGTTGTCTCTCTTTAAAACTCTTTTATAAATATTGTCTAACATTTTACTTCTCACTTACTTTAAAGTTCTTCAGTTCTTAATTTAACAATCACAGTTTATTGGTATTTATCAACATGTTTAAAACTTACTTTGTTCACCTTTGCTCCCTGCATATCACATCTTCCTTATGGGTCAAATTCTTACTCACTGAAACACATCTATCTGTAGTCCTTTCAGCAAATATTCCTGAGTAAAGGTCTGTTCTTTATGTAAAAATGTTTTTATTTATTTTACCTTGTCAGATAATTTGATGAATATAAAATAGGTTATTTTTCCTTAACAGTCTAAATATATTTCATTGCCTTCTGGTTTACTGCAAATATAATTGCTATACATTTGAAGGTATTCTGCAAATTACCTTGGAATAAAAGATTGTATCACTGACTTTTAATGTTGTGATCATAACAAACCAGGTAGAGATGTCTTTTGTAAATTCTATTTGGGAATCAATACAATTCTTAGTCTGAAATTTAATGACTTTTTTTTTTTATTTCTGGAAAACTCTCAGTCATTATCACTTCAAATGTCATCCTTATCTCATTCTTTCTAACCTTTCTGGAACTCCTACTGAATTTATGCTGGACCTTTGCATAGTCTTCATGTCCCTTAACCACTCTGAAATCTAATTTACTCCCACAAATCTATATCCTAATCCTCTAATTCTACCTTTGGCTCTGTCTAATTAGTTCTTAACCCACTCCTCTAAGGACCCTAAAGTCAGGATAGAGGTTCCCTCCAGGGAGAAGAAAAGGATGGTGATAAGAAAGGACACATAGGTAGCTCCTAATGAGTGGGCAGTATTTTTTTTTAGCCTGGCTCATGTTAAACAAATGTTTGTTTCAATTATTTGCTGAACCATAATTCATGCTTCATGAATTACTTTCACTATATGTATTATCTGTACTTTCACTATATGTATTATCTGTCTATAAAAAATTCTCAGCAACAAGTAATTAGCAGGTTAAGACTTGTTGATGGTAAAACATTTCTTGTTCTAAACTCTTCCCTTTCATTTTTAAGTTTTCTACATGAAATGGTTAATATTTTAACAGGCATTACTACCTGTACTTTATCTTCCCTTCATTATTTCCTTCCTTTTAGACTTTTTTGTTTTCTTTTCAAGTGCACCTTTGCTTCTTTAGGCACTATATTTGAAACATGTATGCCATAAATTCTATCAGGCAATGTGATTTTTCACTTGTTCCTTTCTAAATACTAGTCACTACCTTTGTAACCTTGAACACATCATTTCTGAATTTAAACTGTAAGAGGGCAGAGCGAGCAGTTTTAAGACATCAGAAGCAGCGATTTCTGTTTCTCATATGCCCTTGAACAATCTCAAGATGGAAATAAATGGAACACTTCTACCAATTGAAGGCTTTCTCCTGGGCTAGTTTCCAGATTTAATAGTATTCATAATTGCCTTCTATCCAAGCCATTTTTAACCTACACTTACTAGTTTTTTTGCAGGAAATAAAAACACATTTCACAAGCATGGTTGAGTTTCTGGCTACAATTAGAAATTCAAATTAGAAACAAAAAGCATACAAACTATTTGTCATTTCTTTTAGAGTATTTTATAGAGCAAGCAAAAATTATCAGAGTTGTTTATATACATGACAGAAGAAAATCACCTAAATTTTGTGCAAGAATGAAAAAGACACATGAAAACCATGCCAGTTATCAATAATGTAAATAATGATAATATAATTCTCCAAGTAATAGCATTGAAGTATATAGGTATATAGTTCATTTTGTGTATCTATTTTATGTTACTTACTTATTCCTTTTTTAGCATTTTCATTTTAACTTTTTAAAGGTTTGTTATGACTATTTAATTTCACACTCAGATTTTTAGATGCATAGGTTTTATGTTTTATCAAACAGTACCTTGAGAATAAAATAAATGATTAGCATTTTAAATAATCTTGCATATCATTTATTGCCAATTCATTTAAATAATTCTACAGTGTCTTACTGTAGGAAAGTTACAATGTGAAATATGAAATATGAATTTAAACCTAAAATAACTCAGATGGGGCTATATCAAATTATATTCAGATTTAAATTATATTCAGATTTAAAACAAACTACTCTGTTATCAATCAATAGTTTCTTCTAGAAATAATACCAAATTATTTTAGTCAGTTTCAAAATCACTGATGTCTAGAAATGTGTAAGTTTTAAGAAGTCCTTTAGATAACTTGAGCAAATAAAAAAATAAGAGTTAAGAGACATTTTTATCTCCTAGAAATTCTGATAATTTTAGTAATTTTTTCTATAAATAAATTAGTTGAAGTAAGATAAAAGGATTACTGAAGTCAGATACAGAAGTACAACCTATGCATATTTACTTGTTATGTATCCAAATAACCTTAGGTCTGGGATTTCCTTCACCCTGGCAAGTGAAGGAGACAGTATTTCCTGGTGGTGTCTCCACATCTTGGGATACAAAAGTAATTCGGGGACTCTCTGTAACAAAAGAATTATTGATATATTTTTCAAAGACACAAAATTACAGCATTCTAAGATATTGTTGAGAAAAAGCTGTAGGTAATTTGTTTTTCTACATTAAGATATTAGACATATGCTTGACTTAAACTTTAGAAGTGTGAAAGATTCACTGCATAAAGGGATCACCAGTGAAGTAAATTAAATATCCCTGTGCCTTTGGTTCTAGTAGTTCAATACAATCATATTTATGGATGGAGTTGGATTTTATGGGTCAATTTTTCAAACCAAGTAGTTAAATTCAGCTTGCAATTCTACAGGCATTCTCCCTAGACAATTAACCATCTAACTACCCACTTTGTACAATTTACAAGAATTTATATGTCTAGACTTTAAACTTGGTTGAGCAAAATTACTTATCAATATAAATGAATGATTCCATTCTCTAATCATAAGTATTGAGGGATAAAACATGGAAACAATTAAATTCTTTTAATAAAAATGTGGAGTGATTGATTTTTTTAATGAATCAAATAATATAATTGAATTTAAATTATAGAGAAAAAAGTATAAAAGGGACTTATACTTTTCTATAGTAAATTTCACCCAATTCTCTTTAAATCTTTCTAAATAACAAAATTCTTTTTATAAGATTAGTTGAGATTTCCTATCATTAACTACGTCCATTGTGTTTGCAGCATATTCCACAGATCTTGAGTAATCTTGCCTACTTCATTAAAAGTCCATATAATCAATCTCTTGGCTGTATCCCCTTTTTGGAGAGAAAAATAGTTCTATTTATTTGTATATTTACTTTTTAAAAATAATTCAACATTAGCTTTGTGACAAGCAAGGTGCTAAGACAAGTGATGAAGCAGTGATAAAAACAGACAAAGTCTCTGTACCCAGGAGTTTCTAGTTTCATGTAAACAATTAAAATTAAACAAACAGGCCAGGCTCAGTGGCTCACACCCATAATCCTAGCACTGTGGGAAGCCAAGGCCAGAAGAGCACTTACGCTCAGGAGTTTGAGACCAGTCTAAGCAAGACTGAGACCTCATCTCTACAAAAAAATAGAAAAATTAGCCAGAACTGGTAACTCATGCCCATAGTCTCAGCTACTTAGGAGACTGGAGCAGGAGACTCACTTGAGCCCATAAGTTTGAGGTTGCAGTGAGCTAGGCTGATGCCTCGGCACTCTACCCGGGGAAACAGTGTGAGAGTTTGTCTCCCAAAAAAAAAAAAAAAAGTAAACAAACACAAAAAACACATAATAACAAATTGTGATAAATGCTTAGATAGAAAATAAATGGAATAAATGGACCTGATTCAGGCTGAGTATGGTAGGGAAGTGAGCGGGGCAGGGGTCAAATGAAGCCATTCCAAGTAATTAACATTTAAGGAGAGGACTACTAAAAGAAGAAGTAGAAGGAGAATATTGTAGGCAGAGAAAACAGCATTTGGAAAGCCCTTGAGTTGACAAAAAGCTTAAGAACTCCCAAGAATGGAAAGGACATCTTGGTGGCTGCATCGCTGAGTAAAGGGAAGAGTAGGTGATGGGACAGGTGGAGGGCAGCCGGGCTAACCGGGCAGGGAGTGTCAAACACATGAGGTACTTTGTGCTTTATTTTAAGGTAGGAACCTACAGAAGGGTTATGGGCACAGAATGATGCAATCGGATAAGTTTCTTTAAACAATTTCCCCACGTGTAATAGATTGGAGGGCGAGGAATGAAAGCTGGGACATCAGTTAAGATGTAATGCAATCCAGGCAAAACCTTACTGTGGTGTGAACTAGAAGTCAGTAGTAAAGGTAAGAGCTGCGGACAAATTTGAGGCTGTTTTGGCAATAAAGACCAAGTGAATTTTCTTCTCAATCTGAATGGAATTGAACTATATTAATATAATTTTTTAAATTATCTGTTTAAAGAAAATTAAATAACATAATAAGCATCCATAATCAGTTCTTTAAGTAAAGCTTTATTAAGGGTGTCAGAACATAACTATATGCTTATTAAATCCAAGGTTTGCATTATTTGAAAATTTACAAAGAGATAAAAAAACTGATTTTCATTACTTTAGTCATATTCATGATCCCATTATATATGAGAAAAAAATCAATGATTGCATTTGTGGAGGGATTTTCTTAGCAGTGAAAATTAGCAATTACTTGATTTAAAGTTGTAAAACCCAAATTATTGATTATGAGCACTAAGTGATACTGAGATATAAGTGCATACTTTAATGCTGGACACCATTTCCTGTGACCTTGTTGAAAAATTATTTTGGTTAATATTTCTCCTATGAAATTATGGAGGTTAGATTAAGTGATGCTCAAGGACTCTCCCAGATCTTATAGTTGAAGACAGTTAAAATTTCCTTAAATGAAAATGCACATGATGTAAAGGAAACTGGCCACACTTTCTGCCACACCCCTTAGAAACACTTTCTGATAATGTGTTCTTACAAATGCAACATCATACAATAAACCTTTACAGAAAGAGAACAAAAGACCTATGTGTGCACATTTAGAAAATGACATACTGCACTTGAATTCCTCTGCTGTTACTGAAGCAAACGAGCACCCATGCAGTCTTCTGGGATATTTGCACACAGCAGCAGCCTGCCTGTGACCACTTTGGGCACAGCCTTGTATAAGCTCCCCCAGCCACAGTAAGCCACAGTCACAAACCAGAGGGTTGGAGTCTAGACGCCTAGGCACGCAGGCAGGAATTACACCTGTTACAAGGGACTGTTAATTTCTATGAGGAGTCTTTGGAGTGGAAATACTTAATTTTCTCTGACCTACCTTAGCTGTCACATCTTTGACTCCTGAATTTCTAGTTACCAATAAGCAGATTTTAAGAATTTCTCACTTAGTTGCATATATTGCAGAGAGTAGGTACCTTTTTATATTAACAGTGTTTTGGGGAAGACACATTAATACTAGAAAAGCAGTTTCCCCTTAATGTGCGCTATATTGATTTGAAGATAGAGTAATATTTGAAGATAGAGTAATATATCACTTGTCTAATACTTGCATGATCCCTTTTGCTTACAGATTGAAAACCACTTTATAAAAGAATTTCATTAATTTTCACATACATATGTGAATATGGTTGTCGTGAGTTAGAAATGGTATGGTACAATAGAGAACCCAATGTTAGGTGACCCAAAAGGTGTCAGGCCCACACACAAGTAGTGGTACGGCAAACGGATTTACACTTGTTTCTCTGTCCCCATGTGCTATTGGTAAACTGACACTCCCAGCTGTTGAAAGCCTTCATTGTTGCAGGTGGAATTCATTTGGTAATAGAGCTTATTTATGAGCCCTCCATCACTCTCTTGTATTCTCTCGTTCTCTTCTAAATTGCAGCCTGAATAGGGCAAAAGTTTGAGGATTTGGAATAAGTAGGTACCAGTGTCCACTCTGTGTCAGACCTGTCAGGATATCATGGACCCTCGAGCAATCTGTTCAAATTGTATGTCAGTTTTCCACAAAATAAATGTATAAAGTAAAGATACTCAATCAGCGTAACATACTAACAAAATTATCTTAAAACATTTGAAATAAATACAGTGCATACATCATAGACGGACACTGGTACATCACTGTAAGTGGGGCCTCCTTCAGCCTTTCTAACAGCATTTGTTTTTGCTCCGTGTGCTCCAATGATGCAGTGAATGCTGTTTCAATAACGTAAGAGGTTGGAACAGAAAAGCTGCTACTAAGAAAGAATAATGAAATGAGATTAGAAAAAACTGAGGGATTTAGCACTTCAAGACTTTCTGAGAGTTGTAGAAGCTGAGAATGATACCCAGATAGAAATCTAGACAGACAAGAAGCACTGTATGGGAATTATAATATACAAAGACAATAACTCTAACTATAAGTGATGTAACAAAACCAACAGAAGACAAAGAGGGCAAGTAAAAAACATTATCTCTACCCCCAAAATGAAGCATCGTATGACCCTGTTACAAAATGTTGTGGCATTTTGCATTTCCCACAAAAGATTGAAAAGTAAGAATAGGTGTGTGTATTATTCCAAATGGTTGTGGTGCAACCAATTCTGACAAGTAAGAAAGATTTGCTGAAAAAGAGTCATCAGCCAAGGCTTTTGTGGGTTTGAATTCAATCAAAAAAACACCAAGGAAAAGACTGTGGGGCAGTATTATGTGTGTCTGACGTGAGAATTACCAAGAAAGCAGGCAATAAAGACTTGAATGAAAGGACTGGGAGTGGAGGAAATGTCCCCTTGATTATCCAGTTACTTCAATGCAAAGACTCCAAGCATTATTTCCAGGCACCGAGCACAGATTTATTTTCTCAGCACTCTGATTTTTACTTAAACATCAAGTGCTTGCTCATGGGCCTGTATCTAGGCACACAACATTAGAAGAGCAATAGCAACAAAAGTGGTGTCTAAGACAGGTGACAGATACCCCTATGTGAGTTTTACACTATGTGCTCTTCAACTGGCATCTGTGAAGCAGGCATCTGTTCTTTACCTGTTAAACAGACTTGCATTTGTGTGTACTAGGAAAAAGATAAAACAAAATAAAAGCCGTGCAGAAATGTACACACAGGGGTGAAGACAGACGGAGTGCGGGAGAGTGAGCCCCACGGGTGGACAGAAAATGAGGAGAATCGCCGGGAAACAGGAAAGACAGGAGCAGGGAAGCCCATTGAGAACAGAGCCCATGAGAGGACTGGGATTGTTGTTTGTTTGTTTAATGTAGGAGGAAATGAATGGGATGGAAAACTCCATGTGCAACAAGGGAAAACTGAAGCCTGGCCAGAGGAGTCAGACTTTCTTTGGAACTTCTCACATCTCTTTTCTAATAAAAAGTTAAAGGAAAAAGAAGTCTTGGGAGTCTTTAGATTTGACCAGCAAGGAAATTGCAGAGAAGCAAGGAAAACTTCTATCTTCAATATTCTTTTTGAATGTCACTTCTAAGAGAATACATGAAAGCTCAGTAGACTATCTGGGTCCTCTAGCGCTCTGCAGTTAACAAAACCATTTTCTCTTGAAAACGCAAGCATTGCCATGATCTCTCACAGCAAGAGCAGGCAAAGGCAGTCACTGTTGGGGATTTATTTATTTTGGGGACAATTATAAGGTTTCTGTATTTATGTACTTGCTTTCACTTACAGTCTTTTTAATGAATCCAGATGCAAAAAGCTCCCAGCTGGGATTTTAGATAGTTTGTTGTTATGCAAAAATCTGAAAAATAAAAGATACATTTTAATCACTACACAATAAAGATGAGTTTAGGGAACAAAAACATTTTTTCACCTAACTTTGAATTCAATAATTTTTTTAAAAAAGTATTTCAGTGAGAAAGGGCAAACAAATCAGTGTCACTTATGCAAACATTTGTTTTAAAGATTTACATGTATCCTGCACTATAGGAGTATAGGAGTTCTCCATCCCCTGCCTCTACCCTGCTCCTAGACTATAAATCCCAAACTTTCTCCTTCAATGCAGAACCCCTTTGCAATGGCCCCGACCCTGTTGCCACGGCGCATCTTGAACAGTCATTCTTACTGTGCTTTACCAAGTGTCATTGAATATTTTTCTTTAACGGTGTGCAGTGGATGCCATATAGTATAATAATTCTCCTTTTCCACTGCAGGTGCTGAGCCCTATGCCATTTCCTCATCCCAGGAATATTGGAACAGAGTTTCATGATGGAGAAATAGCTTGTAGTATATTGCATTGAACCTTGGGAAAAGCCACATAAGCTGCACAATTTAATCCTATTTTATTTTTGCTAGGTTACAAGCTTATTTCATTATTTTACAAGTAGTGTAGTTCTACATGATAACAACAGTAGAAAGGCTGTTATTCCTTCTTTAAATATATTTAATAGCCTGGAAATTGCATCAATAATTGGATATTGAAAGATGTTATCTATTTTCCAAGCTAAGTAGACCAGAATTAATTATTTAACAGGCAAAATAAATCAAGAGAAAAGCAAAACATTTCCATCATAACAGATTTGGAAGCATGGTATATAACTATTGAAAAATCATACTTAAATATTTTCTTAGTTTTGTACCAATGGTGATAATATATCCAAATGAATGTTATTTTAACATTAGTTTACGTCAAAACATTATATAATTCCCAAGTCAGTTATCATTGCTGCTTGATATTTCTATAACTGTTTGTTTTTAAGCAGATTCATCTCTATATATAAGCCTCGGCCCCTTTATCTATAAAATGAAGAATTATTACAATAGTGACTATCATTGTTTTATTTCCCAAAATACTATCCTGGCGACAGTACTAAAACAGTACTGTTCTAGCAGTACTGATTTGCAGGGGTGAGAAAATGTATTCTTGTAGTTTCTTTTTTCCTTTCTTCTTTCCAGTTTTCTTTTCCAGCTTTCTTTCTTTTTTTCCAACTGTTATTCTTCAAAAATAGTTCTGCAATATATTTGTTGATTTCTGCTTGTAGAATCCCTTTACTTGCTTTACTCCCAACAAGAATCTAAAATATACTTCTTTTTATATTGAAAAGTTTATATAATTATTTGATTCTGATGTCTTCTGTCAAAGATGCTTGCTCAAAAAAGTAATATTTTTAGCAGTATCTACTGCAGGAAATTTGATACAAAGACCTATCTTTTTTCTATGACAGAAATATACATGTTATCAAAAAGAGCCAAGTCATAAATGAGATTTTTCTCCCATAAATGTTCTAAAGGAGAGAGAAAGTAAATATTCTGCCAGAAGTTCAAGTTAGTGTTTCAAGATATATTCCTTGAAAATCCAGGAGACTTCTGAGAAGTACAGAAAACATCATATTCAGTTATGACTTCTTCAGAAAACCTGTTGGGAAGGCCGTGGCCTCAGTGGGGTGCACACCTGGTAAAGAATCTTTTCCACCTGGGTGAGCCCAGGCCAGCACCTGCCTCTCCACAAGATGTTGGGTCAGAACGCTGTGCGTCCTCCCCAAAGAGCAAAGCTGAGTGTTCTCAGGAACCAGGTATGCCCTTCCTGGGTGCAGAATACCAAGGATTTTCTTCCTTTTGATGTATTTTGTTCATGTTGGAATCATTGAGGATTCCAAAAGAAGCATGCAAAATAGGAAGTATTGCTGATGACGTCAGTGTGCACATAAAAGACAAACACAAGGAGCTGCTGTACCAAGAATGTCCATGGTCTAACTAATCTGAAATTTGTAAATGGTATTGGATAAAAATAACAATGTTCTCCAATACCAGTCATGAACTATTGGCCCAAAGATCCTAATTCTGTAATGTTTGATGTACTTTAACAGAGCACTACTTCAATCTTCTGCCTGCGTACCAAGCTGTAAATCAACTCGACCATTTCAACCCACATGGCTCTATGTGCACATGCATTCTTCTGCTTGGCAATGTAACAATAAATGGTTTATTATGTTTCAAGATAAGACATATCTATTGGAGAAAAATTTAACTTTCATAAAGTGTCAGGATTTCAAATCAATCCTTCTACTCATAGAAAAGATGAAGATGCAGGTCTCCCTCGCCTGTGTTGTCATCATGCCACCGCCGAAAAGAACATTCTCATGCAAGCATCAGGGTTGGTACTTACAAAGGAAACACAAGGGGGCTTTTGTCAAATCATACCAATAAGGAATTACTGTAGACATCATGCTGCGGCTGCTAAATGCACATACTCGATGAGGTGCAGTGGTGGCAAAGCCACACTGAATGTGTTTGGATTGAGAAATACCTTAATAGAATACTATAATTTTAATAATGAAAATATTATTTCAGCAAACAGATTTCTAAGTTATGGAGAGAATAATTCTGGTTCAAAATAGTGAACCAGGCACGCAAATTTTCCTCGAATTTGCCTTTTTCAAGTCTCTACTGAAATAATTGCCCAGATGCTCAATATAAAATAAACAAACCCACATTGATCAAGAGGACAGAATGTGGAAGGTCCCCAACAGGTAAGAGATTTCAGCAAATTCTGGAGACATAAAATGCATGGGAAAGAGTTAACAGATGAAATAGACAGAGAAAGTTACACGGCAGAGTATACCATGAGACAGGAACAATCAGAGTGTTTTGTCCCAGAGACTTTAAACAGGTGAGGCAGGAACAGGAGTGAGAGGTGGGATGGAAAACAAGGGGCTCCCAAAGATGTGGGGAGAGAAATACAGTAACTACTAACCATCACCTCCATACAGGACACCAACTGCAAAGAGGAAAAAGTTATTTATGTGTATGTATAGATTAGATAGAGACAGAGTTTTCTAAAGAAATTTAACAAGTTGAAAGAAGAAAAGTAATGGATTTTTGTGGAGCTGGAACTCAAGAGAAAAAAACCTTCTTCATTCTAGCATTTTAGGAAGATAAATCTGCCATTGACACCCAACTGTCCAAACTAAAATTCTCATCAGAGAGGAGATTTTGTAAGAAAACAGACCTACCTCTAGGAGAGCAGGAGAACCCATACTACCTATCCAATATTTTCAATATAAATAGACAACCAATAATCACAAGGCATAGGAGGTTGATTAGGAGCATGAAAAAGAAAGATCAAGATAAAGAGAAGAAAAACCAATTCTAGAAGAGACAGGGAAATTCAGAGGACTAAAAAAAAAGAATAAGAAAAGATAATACAATTAATATATGTACTCAAGTACTCAGAGATCTGAATATATATATTATTATACCTATAAAATAAGAATCAGATGCTACGGAAAAGAAATAAATAGGAAACAAAAAAGGTGTTATAGAAATTAAACTATGATTTAAAATTACAAAAAGCAGCAAATTTTTACAATGAAGTAAAAAATTATACCAGATTATGAATAAAAATGATAAAACAATAGATATTAAAAGGAAAAATAAAAATGTGGAGATCCAGATAGTCTAATATTCAATTAAGGCATCTGTAAAAGAGGAGACAGAAAGAAAAAGGGGAAAAAATTCAAATACATAATTAAAGAGAATCTTTCAAAACAGGGGTTGAATTTGAGTCTTCAGATTGAAAGAATACATGAAGTACCCACCCCAATAATTGAAAAGTCTCATTCTTTGTTATAAATTTATAAAATGTTGAAATACAAAAAAATAAAGATAATTTAAAATCTCCCTGTAAAAATAAATTTGATTTCCTATAAAATAAAAAGAATCATAACAGGCTAGAAGATATAGAATGCATGATTCAAAGATCAATGGAAATTGTGTTTGAACTTATAATTTTGTACCAGATGAACTATCAATTATGAGAATAGAATATATATATTTCCAGGCATTTAAGGATTATCAAAACTATCTCCCTTAGCCCTTTTGTAGTAAGTTACTTGAATATGTATTCCAGTGTGTATTCCAGCACAACAAAGGAGTAAACCAAGAAAAAGGAAGGATACCAGAAACCATGAGCTCCAGTGAAGCAATTAGTGAAGGAAAATCCCATGATAGCTGACACTAATGCAAAGCCAGTTCATATTAGAAGACAGGGGTCCCTAGTGGAAAAAGGAAACAGCCTGGTTTGTATAATTTGGGAATATGAAAAATGTGAAGATATTGCTAAGGTACATACTTCATTTAGAAATAGGTATAATTTGAATGTCCAGGAAATGCAAAAAATTATATAAGAAAGTAATAGTTAAAATATGAATCAAACACATAGGATATTATTTTAAGTAATTTAAACCAAAAAGAAAAAAAGTGTCCTTTCGTTAAGAAAATTCTTCTTGAAATAGCTAGATTCATGACATTTACACATTGAAAAAGAAAATCTTAGCATATTTCCTGAATCTATGATAATTTTCTTAAAATAATATATTTATATTTTTTTAATTTGTAGAGGTCATTTACGGTCAAAAGCAAGAAATATACTTGTAGTCACAGGGTAGGATAAATATGTTAAATATGTAAGTAGTATATAAATAATAATGTAACTAACAGAATGCAGATGTAAAATGAAAAGAAAAATGCAAGAAAGAGTATGGTTTAGGTAGTAGTTTCAAATTCTTAAGTGGAGAAGCAAGAGGGGCTATCAAAATTAATGGAACAAGATTAGAAGGTCAATTATATACAAGTAGATGAACTAAAAATAATGTAGTCTTCAGACACGGGTGTTAGCATAAGCAAAGGCATTAATCTATTCATGAGGGATCCACCTCCAGGACCCAAACACTTCCCATTAGGCTCCACCTCCAACACTGGGGATCAAATTTCAACATGAGACTTGGAGAGGACAAACATCCAAACTAGCAGGAGTACCATATACTTTCCTGTCCAGTTTCCTGTCCGTCATCACATGCCTGTAGCAAAAAAGCAAACAAAAGCAAACTGTGTAATTGCATGCACTCCTACACCTCTATGGGCAAATGGGTGGAGTGACTGCATGGGACAGTGGTTGACTAGTGTCCGGAGCCGCAGCTCCTGATGGCTGCCACAACCTCACATAGCCAGCCTGAGATGGATGCCTGGTCATGATGGGAGACAGGAAGTGCATACTTTCTGTTCCTCTGACATGACGTAGCCCCTAGACCCTTTACTGCCTTCCTTATACGGTTATCCTTTGCCTCTTGCCCCCAGACCCTTTACTGCCTTCCTTATACGGTTGTCCTTTGCCTCTCGGAGAAACCCGCCGAGCTACTGGTATATAAGTCTGCACTCTGTTCCTAATAAACGAGACTTGATCAGACTCCTGTCTTGTCTCCATTTCTGTGTCTTATGCCTTTCCCAGGTCCCACTCCCTCCTTCGAGGACCCCACTAATAACTGGTCCTGCAGGTCGGGACAGACTAGCACTTCTCAGCTTTTCATTTTACTAGTGTTTTTTGTGTATTAATTAAAGGCATTCTTTTTGAAACTCATAAACTCCTAATTCATATTTTTTTTTTTGAGGAAAAGAGATCCCTGATTACGTTTAGCTATGTAATTCTGCATTTTTCTTTCTTTTCAGAAAAACAATCTACACCATCATGTAAAGACACAATAAGTTTGTTAATATAAGGTATTAGAGAAACTGCAGGAGCAGAGTACCTTCATCCAATTAAATACAAAACATAAGGAGGCTGCCCCAGCGTCCCTTGGTTCGTCATTGTTTATTTAATAAAGCCTTATTGAAATAAAACATCCATCTAGAAAAGCACAGACACTATGACGTAGAGCACAATGCCTTGCTCCAAACTGGGCATGGCTATGTAACGACCACCCAGGAAAAACAAAACGGCAAAACCTTGCCAGGACTGGAGAAACTCCCCCTGTCACACCCAATGACCCCCTTCTCCACACAGGTGACCAGCATTTGACTTTTCGGTGCTGCATGTGTCCCTGCTATCTGGTTTTGAAGATATTTTAAGAATAAAGTAGAACTATGCAATTTTCAGTTTTCTCAGAATGTTTCTGAGAGTCATCCATGTCGTCGTATAGTGTTCTATTTTATGAATATACAAAAGCATATTTCTCTATTCTCTTGTTGTTGGAGACTTGGGTAGTTGCCAGCATGGAGCTGTCAGAAAAAACGCTGCCGTAAACACAAGAACTCATCTTCTGGTGCCCAGGCGCGAGCTTTCTGTCGTGTGTGCAGCGGCAGTGGAAGCGCTAGATCGCAGGGATGTGTATATTCAACTGTACTAGACTCTGCCGTAAGTTCTTGAAATGGTTTTACCTCATTTGTGAGGTGCCTGTTCATCTCTTTTGCCATGGTTTTAGTTGATCATTCACCTTTTCTCCACTGATTTCAAGCTATAGACGGTCTTACAGCCACGTTGTTTCATAGTACCAAGGTGCGGGTGCCGCTTCCTGAGCCTGCAGCAGTGTCCTGCCCCCCAGGGCAGCCCGATGGGTTGTATGAACAGAGCAGGGACAGCAGCAGCAAAGGGCACCTAAGGGGTCAGCACTGACAGTCTCTCCAACCGCAGAAGGTCTCCAAAGGTCTCTGACTGTAGCGTTCCTAGTTGGTTGAAGTAAATGTACCCGGAAGGCACAAAATCAAGTTGGTTATTCCTTGGGCTGGTGAGTAAAATGTTTGAAGAATTAGCAATAACTTCAGCTGAAATTAGAAATTTCACTGGCACCAACCATCATATGTCAGATACAACAGTCAGAAACTCTGAGCTATTTTCTCTCCTCTGCTGAGTGAGTTTCACAGCCCTAAGTGTGAAGATGTTCCAAAGGGGAACCTGAGGCCCAACCAGAAAGGGTCGCCACGCCACCTTTTCTCAGGGAGCGTGAGAATGCTAGTGGCTGGTTAAACTGCCCTCTACTCGTTAACGCTTTTAAAGGAAGTGCAGCTAGAGTAATAATTAAGATCACAGCCACAATAAGACACATTACAAGCGCCCAAATGCCTGTTTATATTTCAGAATAGGGAGAATTCTCCTGACACAAGGAGGCAAAAGATGACATATTTTATGTAATTTTGTTGGATACTTGAATGAATTCTAACGCCGGGGGGTGTGGATGAGAAGTAATCTGTCTTGTTTTAATCCTTTAAAATTAAACCTTTTCATTCCTCCGTATCCCTCTATGCAATTGATCCAGGAGGTCCTTCCAAGCTGCCATTTCAGAAAGGCTTCTCTTCACACAGCACAGCTGCAGCCGGAGAGGTCTGCACTCCCCTCAGAAAGCCTGTGCTGAAACAGAGGGAAGGACGCTTCCAAAGCACGGAACCACGCAGACCTTGCAAAGCAAATCTTACAGTCAACAGCAGGGTCCCTGGGCAGTCTGCGCACTCCGCCTAGAACATTTAAATATATGCCCTGCACCTGAGTTCTAAACGCAGCTTCTTCAAATCATCTCGATGACACCAACAGTGACATACAGCAGTGTATAGTGAACAGCAGAAAGTCACCATGAAAAAGAACAAACCAAGTTTCATCGAAATTAGGAGGAGGACAGTATATTAATACATCCAGGTGGAAGGACACAGTAAATGCTACTTGACTTTGTCAGTGGGAAGCTATTTGACTTGAAGTAAGGGCACACAAAGGGAGAAGATGTACATCTCATGTTTGCATAAAATATATTTAATCACAACTGGAAATATTCTTGAAAAAAAAGAAAATAAAAATCTTTAAGGAAAAGGAGCATTTCTATTTCATTTCTAAGCTTCTTTCTTATAAAATCATTATGGTAGGAAGAGTACTTCAGACACCTAAGGAAAAAGCATAATTACAATAGAATAAAAAGGATGCAGTTGGAAAGAAATGATCATTTCAAACTGCCTTAGGTTGGATCCAAAACCAGGGCTGCACCCTCCTACTCTCTGAAATTTGGCAGCCTGGCTGGTCATCCCATGTCTGCCCAAGGGCCCTGTTCATTATAAAAGCTACAATGGCAACACTGTATAAGACACCGCAATGACACTATTATCTACCCATTAGTGTAAAACAACTTTACCCTTATTACTTTGAATTACACACAGACACACACATGGCACCCTACAAAATCATTACCTTCCATCATGGCTTAGCACCTGGCAAAGGAGGCAGAGCCTGGGAGAGTGACAGGAGGAGATGGGGAGATTGGCTGCCAGAGGAGGGAGGGGAGAGAGAGAAGCTTCCATCATTGCAAAAAGTAAAGATTTGGAAAGAGATCTATTACAAGATTTGTCCTTTTTTCCTTCCTTCCTTCCTTCTTTCTCTTCTCCTTCTTTCCTCTCTCTCCTTCCCTTCCTTGCGCGCGCGCGCGCCTCCTCCCCTCCCCTTTGTGGTGTTTCCTCCCCTCCTTCCTCCTCCCCTCCCTTCCTCCCTCTTCCCTCCTCCCCTTCTTCCTCCTTCCCCTTCACCTCCCTCCTCCTTCCTACCTCCCTCCCCCTTCCTTTCCTCCCCTTCCCTCTCTTCCCTCTCCTTCCTTTCCTCCCCTTCCCTCTCTTCCCTCCCCTTCCTTCCTCCCTCCCCTTCCTTTCCTCCCCTTTCCTCTCCTTCCTTCCTCCCTTCCTCTCTCTTCCTTCCTTCCTTCCTCTTCCTTCTTCCTTCCTCCCTCCCTCCTTTCCCTCCCCCTCCCCTCCCTCCCTCCCTCCTCCTCCTTCCTCTCCTTCCTTCCTTCCTTCTTCTCCTTCCTTCCTTCTCCTTCCTTCTTCCTTCTCTTCTTTCCTTCCTTCCTTCCTTCCTGATCCAAAAGTCTCTCTCTATTGCCATGGTATCATCATAGCTCACAGCAACTTCAAACTCCTGGTGTTCAAGCAATCCCTCCTACCTCAGCCCAAGTAGCTGGGACCAAAACACCTGACTAATATTTTCTATTTTTAGTAGAGATGGGTCTCACTCTTGCTCAGGCTGGTCTCAAACTCCCACGCTCAAGTGATCCTCCCACCTGGGTCTCCCAGAGTGCTAGGATTAGAGGTATGAGCCACCACACCCAGCCTATTACAAGATTTTTCTTACCAAGTGAAATGTGTTGTATCATTGGATCCCAACCTGTATGTGTGTTATACATGCTTAATAATGTAGAGTACAAGTAGAATTTGATGAATAAGAATCAGTGCTGATGAGGGCTTCAAATTTAGCATGATTTAAATATTCAATGTCCTCAGTACTTTACATGTATTTAGTCATTTTTAATTTTCACAATTACACTGTGAGGTAGGTTCTATAAGTACCCCATTATTTAATTGGAAAAAATGTGGTTTAAAGTTGTGATCCCCAACCCCCAGGCCACAGATGGGTACCAATCCGTGGCCTGTTAGGAACTGGGCTGCACAGCAGGAGGTGAGGGGCAGGTGAGCAAGTGAAGCTTCATGTGTATTTACAGCTGCTCCCCTTCACTCACATAAGCTCCACCTCCTGTCAGATCTGCAGTGGCATTAGATTCTCACAGGAGCAGGAACCCTACTGTAAACTGCATGCGCGAGAGATCTAGGTTGTGCCTCCATATGAGACTCTAACGCCTGATGATCTGAAGTGGAGCTGAGACGGTGATGCTAGTGCTGGGGAGCGGCTGCAAATACAAGTTATCATTAGCAGACAGGTCTGACTGCACAATAAATGTAATGCACTTGACGCGTCCTGAAACCATCCCCAACTCTGGCCTGGAAAAATTGTCTTCCATGAAACTGGTCCCTGGTTCCAAAAAGGTTGGGGACCACTAGTATAGAGAGATGAGGTAACTTGTTCAATTTTGCACAACTTGGAAATGCCAGGACCAAGGTTCAGTTTCAGCAGAGGTTTCTCTTAACAGCTGGACTCAACAGTCCCTAGCAGCAAAGGGAGCAGCCACAGACATGCTCAGCTGCACGAGGTCACACAGGGATGACCCAGGGAAACCTGATCCAACAATCCTGGGAGTACAGCCTTTTTCTAGTATGGAAACAGATACTCGCCTGGGAGAAGTGCCCAAGGCCACAGAGCAAATCAATGGTAAATTCAAGCCACAAACCCAGAAAAACCCATGCTCCCAAACACTCCTGGAAGCAGCTTCTTGGTTGTGTACATTAATGCTTTCCTTTATCTGAGGCTGTGGCTTTCTTATCTGGAGGAAAGCAATGCTTTCCAGCCATGCAGCCACCTCACAGGTCACAAACCAGGTTTGTAGGTTAACCAACTTAGAGACAACTAGCAGATTTTATAAGTGAATATTCTAGTATATGAAGTTTTCCCTTCTTCTACTTCTCTATACTTTTGAGCAATTTCTTTCTTATAAAGAAAACTTGAGTTTAGCATAAGCACTTTCAATGGGTCCTAGCCCCTGCCATCATGCAGCAAATGTGCATCCTCCGCAGTTTGCACAGGTGTCTGGTTACTGGAGCTAGAAAGACAGCTTTCTCCTGGCAGAGCATCTTATATACAGAGCCAACTAAAATCAAGGCAAAGATGCAATCTAAGGGTTAAAATAACATAAAATAGCTTATTCAGTATCATCGCTACTCTGTGATTTATGTTACACAGTAATTAAAGTAATTGTTAAATATTGATTTAACATTTAAATATTTTACAGGTAGCAATTCATATTTAATAATTCATAAGAAATGTATAATCTCTTTTCCAGAAGGCACCCACTGAGAAGCCACTAATCACAGAGCCCTGTTTATTCCTCATTCCAGCAATGCTTCCCTAGAGTAAATCACTCCAATTCTAGACTTACCCTGGGAAGCCCTGCAGGTTGAATAAACAACCGGTATTTGAATTCAGTGCTAATGAATGTGAAAAATGCACAAAAGTAGATTTTATTTCTTGCAGGAAAATAGGGCAGCCCAGAGAGTTCTATTTGATCATAGTGCAGGCATCTTTAAGCTTTGTGGTTACATGGTTTGACAAATTTTATAACAAAATTTTTTTCAAAAATAATTTTTTTAAATCTTTAAACCAATTCAAAGCAGTAGGGTGTTTTAAGTTCAGTCTGTTTGATTTATGTGATGGCTTTAGCCCAGTAAAAGAGGGAGTTAGCTTTGTCTCCACTCACCTCTGAGCCCTGATAATACAGCTCGTCTCTCCTCTCCAACACCTCATTTTTACGAGACTATTGATAACCCTGACATTTTTGGAGATCTATTGCAAGTTGGTAAATATGAATGATTACTTGAAAATTTTAAATCTATTTACATCACTTCAAAAAGTTTAGACATATATAAATTAGAAGCTATTTCTTCAGATATAGAAGGCAGAAAATTTTCACCATTGTCATTTCATGTTCACCCACACACAGCCTCCCTAGAGGGTTTCGTCAACATCCATGGCTTCGGTTATCACCTCTATGCAGAAGGCTTGCAAATTGCATCTCCAGCCCAGATTTACCTCTAGGAGCTAGATCTATACACCCAATGCCTTTTTAAATATCTTTCAGATGTCTCAGAGGCACCTTAAACCCAGCATGTCTGAAAACCCAACCCCTGAGCTGCCGCCACTCCCTGTGCCCTATCCAACTCAGAGTTCTTCTGGTTTTGCCTCCTGTGCCTTGAATGTGTCACATTCTCCCCTCATCCACTGCTTCCACACTAGAGCAAACCATGCCCCCGGTACTGGGATGC